GTTTTGCGACCGCTCCGGCAGGGTGCAGTGTGTTGTGACCGCGTATGGCACACTGGGGGAGTTGTCACTGTTTACATTTTTTAAAAACTTTTTTGAATCTTTATTAGTATTGTACAATGTGTACACTTCATTCGGGTCCCCGCACAGCAGTGTGGGTGGCTTCGCTGCCATGTGGTGACCTGCGGTGGCATCCGGTGCACTGCCGAAAAATGGAGCATGTCTGCATTATCCACAGCACACCGCCCATGGCAGCAATTGTTTTCAATGTGACCTGCGTGGCTTTTGTTTCTTGTGCAGAAAGACGCAGGTCACCTCTATAGTGGGATCCGCCCCTAAATCATCACACAGAGGCACCTGGCTATAACGCATCTTAACCCCTTCCCGACCAATGATGCGATTGTTACGTCATGATTAGGGATGCACCGATTACGGTTATTTGGTACTCACTGATACCGATAATGAGTCGCCACCTGGCTTGCCGATTGGCTGAGAAACCATCTCCATGCTCCCTCATCACCAGGTGACAAGGAAGCATGGAGCCGGCTTTCTGGCCAATCGGGAAGCTGGGGGGCAGGTAATGACTCGCCGCCTGGCTTCCTTATTTGCCAGCTTCCCGATTGGTGGCCAGGAAGCCGGCTCAATGCTCCCTCATTACTAAGTGACGAGGGAGCACTAAGCTTTGTTACGAGGGAGCATGGAGACAGCTTCCTGGCCAATCAGGAAGCTGGGCAGCATGTAATGACTCACCACCCGGCTTCCTGATGCCAAAGTTCTGGTATCGGGCTAGGCATCGGGAGCAGTTGGGTGAGTACGAGTATTACCCAAATACTCGGTATCGGCACCAATACTAGTATTGGTGCATCCCTAGTCACGATCTTTCAGTTCGTTAGAGGAGAAGCCGCTTGTTCGTTTACAGGTGATCGCCGCGATTCCTGCAGGGAGCCGTGAGTGACAGTCACGGGTCTCTGCAGGGAGATGATCGAGAAGTGAGCGAACGCCGGTATGTGTTCGCTCACCTCCCGATCTACTGAGCCGACCTGTGACAGTCTCATTGTCACACGTCGGCTCGGACTATGAGGGCTGGAAATCACTCGCCTCATAGTTCTCCTTTAAGGGCCGGTGACGGAATAATCCTGTCGGGGTAAAATGAGTCCTGGTCCGTGGAGGGACCTGCGTTCATTGAGTTAATGCTGTTGCTGGGTCCCTCGTTTTCCGAGGCAGACCGTCAACCGCAAATTGGGGGTCCCGGCACTGTGATCACTGCGATGGCTAAGCAGTGATCACAGTGCTGTCAGAGCCACTGTGCTGTGGCGCTGCAAACCGGGACCAGTGTGATACAAAGTATCTCTGAGGAGAATACTACATTCTCCTCAGAGATACTAAGTATGGAAGTCTCCTGTAAATAAAACATTAACCCTTTAGTGCCCCCTAGTTAAAAAAAAAAAGTTTTAAACAGTTTTTTTTAAAGTTTAAAAAAAAGTAAAAAAAAAAATAAGTTTAATAAAAAATGATAAGAAAATGAAGTGGCGCGGATGACGCGGAGGCTGTTATGGAAACGACGTAAGCTAGCAAATCCGGAAGCCTGGCGCCGTGTAATGACGCAGTGCCCGGCGTTCCGATTGGGCGGGAAGCCGGCGTCACGCTCCCTCGTCATCTCATGAATCATAATGTTAAGAAAGTGACCTTGAAGCATTAGTTTGTATTGCTTTAGAAAAAAATGTGACCTGCCCCTTTAAGAAAAAGTATCGGTAATTGGTATCGGCGAGTACTTGATCAAAAGTATCGGTACTCGTACTCGGTCGTAAAAAAAAGTGGTATCGGTGCATCCCTACTTTCCACAACTGAACTTTCCACCTTCCCTACCTGTAACCACCACTCGGCGCGGCTTCCCTCCCCGCAACCTCCGTCACCTTCGTTTCCCTCCGCGCCGACTGCCGCTTGGCGCAGACTTTTCCCCATGCAGTAGTTACGTGAAGTGCTTTGTTCCTGCAGAGTCACGCCAAGACGAAGACCCGAGCGGAGGTCAGAGGAGGAGGCCGGAAGCCCTGGAATCAGAAGGGAAGCGGACGAGCTCGGCAGGGAAGCATCAGGTCGCCTGTGTGGAAAGGAGGTCGGTCTTTTATGTCACGCCGGAGTTTTATCTTCTCGTTTGTATTGAGCTGCTCCTAAAATAACTGACGGGTCCATTCACAGAGGGGGGAGGAGTTTGGAGGAGGCCGGAGAAGGGAACAATCTACCACAGGGGGCGCCCACAATTTTTCGTCTGGAGATCTACTTTTGAAATGACGAGCTCAATGAGATCTACCAACGAAAAAAAAAACACACCTGCGTTCAGGGGGCAGGAGGGGGGGCGTGGCAGTGCATTGAAGTCAGTGGCACCGCAGCCACGCCTGCAGTGCCATCGCCCCGGAACGCAGGCACATTAGTGCGAGCTGCAGAAATGCTGCAAGCGCTATTTTTGCAGATCGCACTGGAACGCAGGCACTAATGTGCCTGCTTTTCCGGGTGCGGGGGGCGTGACTGCGGTGCTATTGTCTTCAATAATTCAACCTCCCGCCCCTGAATGTAGGGATGTCACCCAGCGCCGTTTTTTATTTAATTGTAAAAAATGTTTTTTTAATGTT